TTGCACACCCTTTGTGTATCATTTTTAACCTTACTTTAAAAAACGCAATATTTCCAACATTATGGAAAAAGGCTTACGTTAGTCCCATTTTAAAAAACGGTAGGCAAAATGATATCTCTAATTACAGAGGAATTTCCTTGCTATGTAATTTTGCAAAGATTTTTGAAACAATATTGTACTCTGATATTTACAACTCCACTAAACATTTAATTTCCCCCATCCAACATGGGTTCATGTAGAAAAAATCAACGGTTATAAACTTAGAGGTATTGGCTCAATCTGTATCGGAAATCATTGACTGCAGTGGACAATGCGATCTAGTATAAACTGACTTCATCAAAGCGTTGACCATGAGTTACTCCTTCAGAAATTAAGCAACTTGGGCTTTCCGAACTCATTAGTTAAATTGTTCTTCTCTTATTTAGACAATAGAATGTTTACAGGAGTTCCACAGGGCTCTAACTTGGGCCCGTTTTTGTTTCTATCTTTTGCCAATGAACTTGGAGCCATGCTCGCGTGTATAAAATTAATGTTTGCAGATGATCTAAAGTTATATGCGGAAGTCAATTCTGTGGACAATTGCATAACATTACAATTGTACATTGACTTCCTGTATTCTTGGTGCATACATCATCAATCATCACTTATTACTTAACATTCGGAAATGTAAAGTGTTCTCCGTTTCACGTAAACAGTTCCTATTCACATACGACTACAACATCAACGATTCACTCATCGATAGAGTAGATAATTTCAAGGATCTAGGGATAATTTTTGACAGTAACGTAACTTTTATTGACCATAGAACTGACATCATCGCGGAAGCTCACAGAACATATGGATTCATCTATCGTAACTGTAGAGATTTCTCTAATCAACATACGATGAAAATATTATTCTGTTCTCTTGTTCGTTCCAAATTGGAGGTGTGGTCTGGTACCCGATCTATGAAGTATTCTCAAAAAATTTCTCAAATTTATAGCTCCTCTCCAAGATGGTTTTTATTTCACGTTTCTTAGCGTCCGGCGTAACATCTTAATGATACGATTTCTATATAATCTGCTCAATAACAACATAGACTGCCCTGAATTACTATGTAAATTGAATTTACTCGTTCCAAGGTGTAGTAATATTCGTCAGCATTTGCTATTTTATACATCTCAATCACGAACTAACGTTTTAACTAAGACTCCAATTGCTGTAATGTGCACCTTAGTCAATAAAGTAGCAAATGACTACAGATGTGCAGTTTTAGTTCATGCGCCTCCCGCCACTGTCCTTCAGTAGCGCGCGCGCGCTGTTATTGTTTCGCTTCGTCCATCGCTGCATGTTCGGTCGCGCGACACTGGACTGGGAATGATAATGAGTAGTGGGAGAACTTTTCGAGCGCGCCAACTAATTTTGCCCGTCTTTACAAATGACTGTGACATTTTTTCACGACTCTGTTAAGAGAATATCTTCTTTTATTCGGGATTTATCTTATCTAAATTATAAATTCACATTTAGATCTACTGTTTGTTTCAGTTGATTATTCTTTGAATTGTGTTTTTTATTATTTGTTTGCTCAAGCATTGAGTGATTATATTCTGTAATATAAATAAGGATCCCTGTAATTGGGTTCTTTACCTGTTGGGATCAATAAATTATTATTATTATTACAGAATGTAATTGACAGATAACAGACAAAATTTTAAAATTGAAAATTTGATAAACATCTGATTGTTAGTTGTAACAGCAAAAAAAAATGTGTCGTTTATAGCGTATTTACACTTTATGTAAAAATATGTTATGTTATAGGCAACAAATGTATTATAGACTCATGTTTTTTGTTTGTACTTTATTGCATTTCTTTCCGGGTCGCTGGAGGAAAATTGCATACGTGCATACAGGGTGATTTCGAAATGTGTGCAATAAAAAAAATGGAGAATGGCTCAAAATAAGGTTTATTGTACTGTGTAAAGTTCATGTTCCTAAGTGGTAGCAATGTCTAGAAAAATTATTTTAAATTAAATATAAATTGTTATACACGCCACCGGTAGTGTTTGTGGACCTACCATAACTACTAATCAAGAAATGGCACAGATTAACTAACGACTAGGATTAAGAACCAAAAAAGCGGTACACTGATAAACAACGTACAAAAACACGATAAGGGATAATCATGTATCAGTTGGTTGCCGTCGTGTGTTCGGATAAGTCTTTGATAATGGTGAATTTTTCCAATTCAGAGCGTGTCGACATGGTAATGCTTTATGGTGATGGAAACACCAGATTGGCCCGGGAATTGTGGATAGAGCGCTTTACAAATCGCGCGACACACTAAACACGGCATAGTACTTCGCGTTTTTAAATAAAGGGTTGGAAGAACAGCTAGATGTGGAAGTACTTCTAGGTGAACAACTTCACATGTAGTACTTGCATGATGGAGTACCATCACATTTTGCTAGGCCAGTAATTAAATGATTAAATAACCATTTTCTTAACCAGTGCGTTGGTAAAAACGGCCCAGTAGCTTAGCCTCCGCTTTTAACCGATCTCAGCCCATCTGTTTTTTGTTTGTGGAGTTGGATGAAACAATCAATTTATGGAAATCAGCAGTTTCCAGAAACTATCAAAAGCTTCAACAAGCCTGTATTATTATTAGTCAAGGACAACATTTTAAACATTTATTGTAAAAAAATAGTACCTTTCTAAGTTGCTCTTATGTTTGTTTTAATAAATAATGTGGAATCGTTGTGGCAAGGACCAAATATCCGTCAGAATAAAAATTGGATCATCATGAAGCATTACCAAAAATCGATCCTTCTCAGGACCACCATTTGTTTCTACAACTAATAAAATTCGCACTGACCTTTAACGATGAATGAACACATGAAAGAACGAATGATTACCAGTAGAAAGTCGGTTTTACTTTTATTTCAATCTGAAAGTGTTTATCGTGCATATTTCGAAGAAATTATCTGCATATATATGCCTATATTTTGACAAATATTTATGCATATCGCTAGGTATGTGTTTCCCCATTGGACGACTATTGGAAAATAAAATTACATTATTAACTTTTTATATTTTAATTTTGTGATTAAGGCAAAGAGTTCTATTCCTTTCAGTCGCACAGCTAAAAATCATACAGAAAAAATAATCCAGTTAATTAATGATCATTGATTTTGACATTTCGCTTTGATTTTTTTGGTTTCAAAAGTAAAACCTTTTCGAAGGATGAAAGTAGTCACTTTATAAATACGTGTCGAAGATTCATTACTCGCAAATTAGGAAATTGTTTATATTTATTTCAGAAATGGGTCGTACATCATAGTAGTAGTGTAATATGAGCTTTAATAATAGAAGTTGTGAATACCCCCAATTGTCCGCAGAGGCCGGATATGTTATATTTGTCTATGCGGACAATTAAAATTTATGAAAATGTAAACGAGGCAGCTAGTGCTGTTATCCGTCGACTTTCGTAGGCTTTAATTTTAAATTCAATTCCAAATGATTTAAATAAACTGAATAACAAATCTTTATGCTAATTTACCTCAAATAAGACTGCAGTAAAATCAACAGTTACAAACAGCAAAATTCAATAAATTTACAATTTCAATTAGAGATCTGCAATCATAGTTTGTAAATAATTATAATTAATGACGTTTCACATTAATTCTTGTTGTCCTATAATTTTCAAGCTATTATTGTACCTATATGCACCTACTTTCATGAGTATAATTATTTCTGCAAAAGATTCTACAACACAATACTCGCAACTTCTAGGAAATCCTTTTCAAGAAAATCAATAATCTGATCTTTTGTGGTTTCTGGTTTATGTCTGGATACGGAAAAGCCTTTTTAGGAGCCACTTTCAGAGCACCGGATTGGTCAGACTGGCTAACATCAATTACATAATTGTTTTGTTATGAGAACTCTTGTTTGCTCTAACGTTTCTTTTTGAGACAACTTTTTACTTACTTCGTCCTCGTCATGTGTGGGTGAAATCAATTGCGAATTTCATCTGTTTAAGAGTTTCACTGAGTTCATCATCTGAATTTTTTTGAGTAGTTAATTTTAGAATAAATAAATGAGCAAATGAGAAAAAGCAAGAGTCACTGCGAAGTATTTAGATCGTGGAAAGCGTATCTTGCACTACTGCTGTTTTTTAAAATGTGGTCTGTTTGCTTAATTAATTGTTAGTTAATTAATTAATACAATATGTCCTGTGATTTGCAGCATATAGGGTACCTAACACAATGAAATTAATTTTATTTTACTTACATTTGCTATTGTTTTTCAAGATGTAATACTGCACTGTTGATTGATTCTAAATATCAAAACGATAGTAAAGGTCATGACTGCTAATTAAAATTCGTTTGAAATGAATGAGTGCCGTATTTCTTGTTTCAATTAACTGTGTATTTCCATCATTGAACAGATCTTGTATAACATCCAAAACTGTAATTAGCTGGCAGAATCTAGTTAAATCCACGCTTTTTCTAAAAGGGTAATTTTAAATTGCGTGGGGTGGAATCACGCTTACGAAAAATTTAACACGAAATTTCATATTTTGTTTTTTGAAATAATTAAACCACCTCATCTCATTAAACAAATGCTCGTTTAGAGAAAGGATAGTATCGAGTTAACAACAGCAAAAAATTAAGATTTATTTCTCGGTGTTAAACGCCTGTGTCCAAGATCGAGGGTCATCTGTACGCACAATAAAATTGACTATAACCTCTTACCTTTACTCTGTCATATTTCCATTTCGTTAACTACATAAACTAGCGTATTAGTTAACGATTCGATAAACAGTAACCGCCGCCGTCCTAACAAATCGATTGACAAAAATAAAGTACAAACCCGGCAAGTCAGCTATAATGAAATTTTGTTTACAAGCTAAATCGAGTGCCAATCAGAATTCATTTAATTATGCGAAAATGGTCTTTTCCGTGCTATTTTTTCAATACTGAGCGAATTAGTCTTATTCGATAAACATAAATAGATTTTCTTACCCTGCCATTCCACTGCTTTCCATTTTGTTAGCTAATTCAACGTCCTTCGAGTATACATCGAACTGCCATTGCCTTTGGCCCAGGACACCCGCCAGAACCGCCCCCGTGTGGATGCCAACTCTCATATCTACAGGAGAATTTGCTGTCTGCTGCACATATCTGAAATACAAGTTAATTGGATGACATTCTTTTCTATTCGTTGAAATATTTCATCAATTTTTACGAGATATTATGCGAGGCTCTAGGGAGAAATAAATCGATTGATTTCAGCTTAACAGTATTACCTACAAATTATGTGAGGCACAAATAACACATAAATTGTATTGTCGAAAATGTTTTTACATGTTTTTGTTATATTGTTCACCATTGGGTTGTCCACTCTGGAATATCCTCAGACAATTAAAAGCAATTCAGTAACTGTTAAATAGCAGCGTCATTTTTTTTTTATAGAATTTTTGTCTTGTCAGATTACGGTAAAATATTATTTAAAGATTTGCGTATAATTTTCTGAACCGAAGCATCAAACTCTGATTATAAGTAGGTAAATCAAATCCTTTCGATGAAATAATAAATGGAGGAACATTTATTAGCAACCGAAAAATTACATTATATTATTTACATTTGAAAAGTGAGTCAGACCACAAATTTTCAACTTTCTTTCCACTCGAAGACATTTCATTTGTATGTTTATTGCATAGTACGGTAATGTTATGGAGCTAATCTATAAGAACTTCATACCTACCCATTTAAAATTTTACCTGTAACATACTGTTTTCGATTATTTCTTTTAAAAGGTCTTATTATTCCTCACAACAGATTTTGAGTAAAATTTTTATAGAATTACACATACATATATGATGTCTACTCAAGAATTTTCGCATTTTTGCCTTAGTACATTCTACCAATACATGGAATTTGAAATTATATACAAATTGGAATAATTAATAAAGAACGGATTCTAGGGCAAATACCTTTTCATTTTGGTTGTACGCAAAATTGTTTTATTTGAGCCCTACTTGTTTTCCTATTTGCCTATTTTTGATCATGCACTTATACACTTTTTCGACCTATTTCAATTTTTATCTGTCTACTTTGTTCTAAAATCTGACTTTTCTAAACCCCTAAGCACCTTCCTTGGGAGGGTCACATTTAATATTTGCGGTACTATATAAAGAAAGATAATTTAATCCAGGTTTTGGGTAAAAAAGTCTGGGGAATTCGGTTAGCAAAATGCCGACAATTCTATAACTCAAATCTATTTTTCTGCGTAATCCATCAAAGAACAAATTTTATTGCAGAGCTAAGTACAAAGGTAGGTTTTAAAATAACCCATTTACAGACCCCGACACAAGTTGTCTCTTGCTTTTCTAAGAAGAGCCCGCCGACAACTTTCTTTCCGAGTTCTCTTCCTGTATCAATTAGTTCGGGTTGGGTTTTCGTAAAATGAAGTTCAAAAGTGTAAACGTGTTTTAAAAATTTTACCATTTTACCATTTTTAGAGCCCATTTTGGCTTTTCTTTAACCTAAAATCTGTTCTTTAGTAATTAACTATAGATCAATCCTGAATTAAGGATAGACAAAATTTTTCGATTCCGATTTGATTCGCAATAGAATGTAATGTGATATCGCACACCAAGTCTTGGAACCAACAAATTAATTTTGGAGAGTACTGCTCCACAATCTATTCTATTGTTTACAATGTTGTAATAGCTATTAACATACCCAGGATGTAACCAATGTCATAACAGCCGCAAATGTCAATTCGAAATCTGAGCGATAGCGAAGGTAATATCACCTTACCGACTTTACATACAGGATACAGTTATGGCTTTCCTACCATCTAACTTTTATAAATGTAAATAGGCATATAATAGACAGAAACCAATAAAGAAAGTTAACGCAGAACATACTACAATGTTTACTCAAAGAAACAATGTTAAATCCGTCTAACAAAATCGAGTGACTGTGTCCCCGAGGATTTTGTCTATTACGAAATAAACCCATACGCCGTCCTGGTATGACGCCCATGGGCCGCCGAGAGCTTTCTAGTATTCGTGGCGATGATGGGTGAGTTGTCATCGGTGACGATGGCCGGGCGGTGTTTCATAAAGTCTGGAACGGATTACCGGAAGTCTCGATTGCGGGCCCCAGAAAAGCCTCGAAGCGGTGTTTTCGCTCCATCGAGAGGAACGTATAGATTTAAATAAAGGCCACCGTCGGGAACGATTATTATTCAGTTGAGTCGAGTCCAACGAATGTTTAGTTGCACCGGAATTATTTTGTACATAATCGCTAGATTTGAGTTTCTTTTGGATTGATTCAATATGGTAAAATGAATTACGTGTATTGGATATCAAAACAAACTGCCGTATTTTAAAATTGATTTGACCAAAGACAAGAATAAGACACTTGGGTTATTCGTGGGTTATTCAATCTTTACCATTGCAGTATAAAAAGCCGTATGTCTTATAGGGTTTAGCAACAACTTCATTAATTTGTTTGATAAGTATAAATTTAAAGTCAAATAAAATTCCCAGGTCATACATATAAGACCTCTTAATAATAATACCATCAATAATATAGTCATACTGAAACAGCATTTGCTTCCTTGAAAATGCTATTACTAGGCAGTCAAGAACTGAATATCTTGAACAATTTAATAGTCTTCTTGGAACAAATTTTAAAACTTAAAATCATCTGCAAACAGTAATTTATGTTATACCTATAACAACCGGAAGGTCGTTGATAAAGAGCAAAAATAGCACACGACCAGATTTGAACTTTGCGGGACGCCAAATGTGGAAATAAAACTAATCGAAATAAAGTTTCAATATCTAACAAAAAATTGTCTGTTCAACAATTAGGATAAGGACAGATGTACCAGAGGTTGAGTGAAGCCGAGTCTATCTAATTTTCTCAGTAAAATTTGATCTATTTGGTCAAAAAGTGGTTGAAAATCACTAACCTCGCTTACAAATTTAGAGAAGACAGCCAGATTTGTAATAATTGAGCGTTTAGACACAAATCCGTGATTAAATTTTTTGCTGAGCTAAAAATTTCCTTTTATAATAATATTAGTAAGAATAATAATAGCCTTTATTACCCAACAGGTTGTTACCGCATTACAAGACAAAATCTAAATTAAATGTTACGCACAAATCTATAATTAATTTTTAATTAGTGTTGAAAAATCAAAAGTTGATGCATGTCGAGAGTTTCAAGCGTGGCACATGAAATTTTATAGGGGATATGTTGCTACAGTCTAAACGATTGTGAATAAGCTTCCAAATAAAATGAGCACCATATCTTTTTCCACGACTAACTAGCGACTGAAAATTATGCCGTCGCAGTAAAATGTCATAGTCAACGTTTCTAGGTGGGTATACTCCATCGATCCTGAAAGATAAATATTTTGGGAATCTTCCTTGAATTTTTTCAATGGTTAACTGATGACGGACGTAATATGGAGCCCAAACCACACATGCATATTCTAACTTGCTTAGAACAAACGAAAAATACAACGTCTTAAGGAGAGAGAAACTGTTAAAGAATTTCGATGTACGCATTATGAATCCAAGGGATTTTGATGCCGATGATATTGTGGATTCAATATGATTTATAAAAGTAAGATTTGAGTTAAAAAGTACTCCGAGATCTTTTGCTGAATCTGCTTTGAGAAGTAGATGACCATTAATATAGTATGATGAAGAAACAGACATTATTTTGCGAGTCAAAGAAAGAAAATAACACTTATCCACATTCAAAGTTAAGAGATTAGACACTGAATACTGACCAATAATATTTAGGTTATCCTGTAGGAGATTTACATCCATATCATTGAATGCAGAGGCATAAATTTTTAAATCGTCTGCATATGCAAGTACAGGACATGTAAGAGAACTGAGCAAATCATTAATAAATACTTAAAAAACTATAATAAGTCCCAGATTGGAACCCTGCGGTACACCAGATGTCGAGACATATTCATACGAATTAAACCCGTTATAAAATATATAGTTTATTCGATTTGAGAGGTCTGATTTAATACGAGCAATAAATGATGGTGCAAGATCAAAAGAACTAAGTTTGTTTAGTAGCAAGACACGATCAATCATATCGAAAGCACTAGAAAAATAAGTGTGCACAACATCCACTTAACCAGCTCACATATAAACTGAGTAATAGTTATTAAATTTGTTACTGTGGACTTACCAGGTAGGAAGCCGTGCTGATTTGAGGATATATAGGGCTCAATATGATTGAATATGGATTTGTAAATTACTTGCTCAAAAACCTTGGCAAAATTGGACAAAATTGCAATCGGTCGATAGTTTTTCAACTGCGTGTAATCATTTTTCTTATGCACCGGTAAAATTCTGGCACGTTTACGAGTCGGAAAAGAAGAACTGGAGATAGCTTTATTGATGATTATTGTCAACGCTGTCGCCAAAGCATATATTGCGTCGTGGATTAAAAAACTGGAAATTCGATCATCTCCAACAGTATGTTTAATAAGAAAAGATGCCATAATTTTCACGACTTGTTAGTCAGACACTCACATAAGATTAAAAGATGGAAGATTGCAACTGTCATTGGGAGTCACATTTGAGGCAGGGTGAGAGCTTTGTGACTACAGGCGGCATACTGAGGTACGGAACAATTCAAAATGTGATATAGATGATCATAGAATGTGTCAAGTGCATCATCGACGTCAAGACAGTTTTACAGAAATGTCCAGTCAGTACTAAGGAGGTCATCATATAAATATGAGAAATTGGCTTTACGGAAGTTATACCTTATTGTTCATTGTTCAAATTACGAACGCTATTGTGTTGACGTGGTTGAAGTGAGTCACAAAAACTACAAAAGACTTTCAATTAGTTAGCGAACTTACTTATTCACGAGATGGGTCCATAGTTCTTTACGTCGTTTTTATTTCCTTTTTTTTTTAATTGGGCATATACGAGTATTTGCTTCCAAAGTGAGGAGAATTTTGATTATGTAAATTAAAGAGAGAACACACAGTTGTACAAAGCCTCAGAATTACTTTGGATCTTTAGAACCAGTAAAATTGTACAGTACCTAGTTGCTGCGATCCACGCTGTTTTCCTTCTTACAATGCAGGACCACCAGTGATTTGAGTCGGATAACAAGGACAA